CCCGCTCGGACCAGTCCTCCTCTAGGCTTGACCGTGATTATCGCCAGGCACACAGTCGCCGCTCCAGTGGATCCTGGTCACCGGGTCTCAATCGCTCCAGATATGGCTCCAGTACGGAGCAAGGCTCCACATCAGCGGGGCAGCCTCCCGGACTCTCGGTGCTGTGTGCACCATCGGTACCGAAACCTGCCCAGTGGCCGGCCCTGCGGTACCGGCCTCCTCATCATCATCACCGGACAAGGCCATCATGGAGCCCCCTCACCCGGTTCCTCAGATGATGCTAAGGCACACCAGGAGCTGCTGAAGAGGGTTGCGTCCAACCTTGGCCTGCAGGTGGAGGAGTTGGAGGAGCAAGCGGACTCCCTGTTCGACATCCTCTCCTCCACAGCCCCTGCTACGGTGCCTCTTCCCTTCACGAAGGGCTACTGAAGATATCCAGTACCTTGTGGCAAACCCCCTCCTCTCTGTCCCCCATTTCCAAACGGGCAGAGCGTAAGCACGAATACCTTTACTCCCATCCTGCCTCAAATTCCCTGGTGGTCGAGGGGCAACCCAGAGCTACCCCCAAAAATAAAGACTCCAGGAGTCTGGACTTGTTCAGATGGAAAATTTATTCCTCGTCTAGCTTGCAGTTGAGGGTGGCCAACCACCAGGTCCTCCTTGGCCGCTATGACTTTAATATGTGGCAAACCGCGGCCGAGTTCGAGAATGCCCTCCCGGAAGGTTCCCGTAAAGAATTCCGTGCGATCCTCGACGAGGGCACGGCTGCTAACAGGGTGGCCCTTCAATCAGCGGCAGACTCCGCCACCTGCATCCTGGTGTCCGCCATTTCCATGCGGCGAGCATCCTGGTTGCTCCTCTTTGGGTTGTCCTCCGAGGGTCAGCAGTCGATTCAGGACCTCCCCTTCGATGGCCAGGCCCTGTTTGCGAAGCAGACAGACAACAAATTATATGGGCTGAAGGACTCCCGAACCATCCTAAAACCCCTGGGGCTCTACGTTCTGGGCCCGGCACGTAAGCGTTTCAAACCGCAACTACCCCAGGGGCAAGGAAGCCAGCCCCAGTAGGACCCATTGCACAAAAAGCCCAATGGCTATAGACAGCGCGCGAGCCACCTGTCCCCACCCTCTGCCCAGTTGGGCTCGAACCACTCCAAGCAAGGAGCTAAAAAGTCGTTATGGGGGTACGCCCGAGTGTGACCTACCAATCTATTCCCTGGATCCAATTTTCCCAATTTTTTGCAACCGCCTTTCCTTTTTCCTCCCGGCGTGGTCAGCAATAACTTCGGACTGCTGGGTCCTCAGTATGGTGGCACACAGTTACACCCTCCAATTTATTTCCACCACCTCCCTCCCCATCGCTCTTCAGGGACTCTTCTCATGAGAGTCTTCTGGAGCAGGAGGTTCAGGCGTTCTTACAGCTGGGGGCAGTGGAGGAAGTTCCGCCTCTTTATCGGAACAAGGGTTTCTATTCCTGGTATTTTCTGATCCCAAAGGCCAAGGGTGGTCTGCGTCCCATCCTGGACCTGCGAAACCTCAACAGATACCTAAAGAACTAAAGTTTTGCATGGTCTGCTGGCCTCCATTATCCCCTCCTTGGATACGGGAGACTGGTATGCTGCCCTCGATCTGAAAGATGCATATTTTCACGTAGCGATCTTCCCAGGACACAGATGCTTTCTCCGTTTTATGGTGGGTTCGGCCCACTAACAGTTTGCAGTCCTTCCGTTTGGCCTGGCTACAGCACCAAGGGTGTTTACCAAGCGCATGACGGTAGTTGCGGCCTACCTCAGGCTTCGGCGTATCCAGATTTACCCGTACCTCAACGACTGGCTGGTCAAAGGCAGCTCCAAGGCTCAGGTCCAACACGACGTCGCTGTACTACAAGCCACGTGCTGCTCCTTGGGACTACTGGTCAACCACAAAAAGTCCATGTTCGTTCCAGTTCAAAGGATAGAATTCATCGGGGCCGTGCTCAACTCGACCCGGGCAAGAGCGTTGCTGCCATTAGACAAGTTTCAGGCCCTGACGGACCTCATCGCGGAAGTGTCCGCATTTCTCCTGACAACGGCTAAGATATTCCTGTGCCTGCTAGGCCACATGGCAGCTTGCACAAATGTGGTCGGCCATGCCAGGTGGCCCGCACTGCCATGCCAGGGGGTCCGCATATGGCCCCTGCAGCAATGGCTGGAGTCGACCTATTCCCAATCCAGGGACCACCTGGAGAAGACCGTCACCATTCCCCCGGCAATTCTCCCCTCGCTGCAGTGGGGTACTGATCGCAAGAAGGTCCTGGAAGGAGTCCTGTTTGACAGTACCGCCCCATCTGTTTAGCTAGTGTCGGGCGCTTCGGACCTCGGTTTGGGGGGCGCACCTTGAACATCTCTGGATCCAGGGGATGTGGACCCCAGAGGAGGCAGTGTTATACATAAATGTCAAGGAACTCAGAGTGGTCCGGCTGGCCTGCCAGGGTCTTCCTGCCACACGTGTTGGGCAAAGTGGTGAGAGTCCTGATAGACAATATGACCTCAATGTTCTACATCAACAGGCAAGTTGGAGCGCGCTCATTGGCTCTCTGCCAAGAGGCTCTCCGTCTCTGGGACTTCTGCATCAGCCACAGCATCCATCTGGAAGCTGGTCACCTCCCAGGCATCAGGAATTACCCTAGCAGATCACCTCAGCAGGGACTTCTCCTCTCACCACGAGTGGTCACTCCACCCGGAGGTGGCCTGCATGATCCTCCAGAGGTTACTCCCCAAGTAGATCTGTTTGCCATCAAGCGAAACAGAAAGTGCCATCTGTTTTGTTCCCAGCAGGGCCTGAGCAAGGGCTCCCCCTCCGATGCCTTCCTCCTGTCGTGGCCGAGGGTCTGATGTACGCGTACCCTCTGGTCAGCTGGGTCCTAGTAAAGATCAAGAGGGACAAGGCACAGGTTATCGTGATTGCCCTGCGTGGCCTAGCCAGCGCTGGTTCCGCACACTCATAAACATGGTGGTGGCCCCTCCCTTGCCCCATCCCTACTATCTGGACCTGCTGTCACAGGATCATGGTCAGCTCCTACACCCCAATCTTGAGTCTCTACGCCTCTCGGGGTGGATACTCCGTGGTTGAATCTAGAGGCGCGTACCTGCTTGGAGGAGGTCCAGAAGGTCCTCCTGGGAAGTAGGAAGCCATCCACGAGACTAACTTACCTGGCCAAGTGGACGAGGTTTTCCCGCTGGGTGTCGGAGCGCGGCATTTCTCCCTCACGTTCTTCAGTGCAGTCCATCTTGGACTACTTACTGCAGCTCAGGAATCAGGGTCTGGTGCATTCTTCCATCAGAGTGCACCTTGCATCCACCAGCCGATCCAAGGTCAGACAGTCTTTTCCCATGACATGACTGTCAGGTTCCTGAGGGGCCTTGAGAGGCTTTACCCGCAGGTACGGGCCCGTGTCCTGCAGTGGGACCTTAAAATGGTCCTCTCCAAGCTCACCGGCCTGCCTTTTGAGCCGGTGGGCTCCTGCTCCCTTTCCTACTTGTCCTGGAAGGTCCCTTTCCTGGTGGCAGTGACGTCGGCGAGACGAGTCTCAGAGATTAAGGCCTTGACCGCAGAACCGCCTTACACAGTGTTTTATAAGGACAAGGTCCAGCTGTGGCCCCACCCATCCTTCCTGCCGAAGGTGGTATCTTCCTTCCACATGAGCTAGGACATATTCCTGCCAGTGATCTGTCCTAAGCCACACAAGACCGCTGAGGAGAGGTGTTTACACGCGCTGGACGTCTGGAGGGCCTTGGCTTTTTATTTGGAGCGTAACAAGTCTTTCCGTAAATCAACAGTTCTTCATCTCTATAATGGATAGGATGAAGGGACTTCCGGTTTCTTCACAGAGGATTTCCAACTGGATCACCTCTTGCATAAAGACCTGTTATGAGCTAGCAATGGTCCCACCGCCGCCGATTGTCAGGGCCTATTCGACTAGAGCACAGGAGTCTTTGGCGGCCTTCCTGGCGCACATCCCGATCCAGGACATCTGTAGAGCAGTGACATGGTCCTCAGTCCACATGTTCACGTCTCATTATGCCATCACTCAGCAGGCCAGAGATGATGCTGGGTTCGGCAGAGCTGTATTACAATCTGCACAGCTGTGAACTCCGTCCTGCCTCCACGGGAACTGCTTGGAGTCATCTAACATGGAACGGACATGGGCAAGCACTCAAAAAAGAAAAGACAGTTACCTGTTCCGTAACTAGTGTTCTTCCAGATGTGTTGCTCATGTCCAGTCCACAACCCGCCCTCCTTCCCCACTGTCAGAGTTTCCGGCAAGAAGGAACTGAGGGTGGGGGGAGCCGGTGGCTCCCCTTATACCGCACCATGCGGGCACTACTCCAGAGGGTGCTAGAGCCGCTCCCCTACAGATACTGCTGAGGGAAAAACTTCCAGCACCGGTGCATGTGGTGAGCATATGCACCTAATGTGGAATGGACATGAGCAGCACATCTCGAAGAGCACCAGTTACGGAACAGGTAACTTGTCTTTTTTGTTCACAGCAAGACGATATTGAATGCAGTGCAGGGCTCTTCAGCTCCCGTGGTGAGCTGAATATCTCTCCAGCAGTTGGGAGTTTGGAAACCCCTAAAAATAGATTGCTTGGTTATACTGCAGCAAAATATCTTGAAATTCTTCAGGTTTCATATTCTAGGAGGACAAAGAAATGTGCAAAGATAGAAAAATGCAAACTTACTCAGAAGGGTAAGAGATCCATCCAATGCTTTGAAAATTTCCCACTGAGTTTTTATATCCAGGAAGGACAGAAAGCTTCCAACGTTATGCACAAATACTCCTCTTATAGTAGAATGTCATCAGTAACCCTCAGTTGTAATAATCATCGATTTCTCTTGGGTATATTTAGATATTGAAGATTTTAATGTTAAAATGTTTTTTACATTTTAGGAGTATATCATTTTAAAAAAAAAGAGAGTTTGAAGGTGGTTAATGATATGACACACTTTTCTTTTCCAGTGCTGGGATTGGACGGACAGGGGTTCTTATCACTATGGAAACAGCGATGTGTCTTATTGAGTGCAATCAGCCTGTTTATCCATTAGATATTGTGAGAACAATGAGAGATCAAAGGGCCATGATGATCCAAACACCTGTAAGTATCATACTTCCTACATTGTAGAAAAGTAATCTCATATTACTCAGTGGTTTCACTCTCACTGAAGACAGTAAGAGGTGCTGGATGTTTTGAAAGAGGGCGGCTTAACTGAGAGTGACTATGGTCTTGGTACATTGAGAACAATAAGATATCTCAGGGATTTTGAAAGAGTGATTCTTCGTGAGTTTCTCTGCAGCAGCTTCTGCTGACAGACATACTTTTTTAATAATGAAAATAAATGGCAAAAATCACTATTAATTCTAAATATTTCTTTTCAAAAGCTATCCTTTGCACCAGATCTGCTCAATGAATGGAGAGAGTAGGAAGGTGAAACTAGAGATGTGGAAAGGGAGGGTGACAGGAAGGAACAAGGTACTGGAGTATGTGTGAAGGGCAATGGAAAGAGTTCCAAGAAGGAGAAGGAATTTGGAGGAGATGAATTAGGGGGAAGCTGGGTGATACAATCCAGCTGTGTAATTCTGCTCTGGCAATACAAAAAGCAACTTTTAACTCTGCCCTGTAGTGACACAATAAAGAGGAACACACAGAAGAAATCTATTGTGTCTTTAAAAATCAGTTTAATCTAATCTGGGATTATAAAATACTTCATAGGATCACGAGAGGACACCTGTCATAAGGTTTTTTTGGGTGCCTTAACTGTGTGTTTCCACATGTTTTTCTTAGCATGTTTGGAGTTTTCCTAGGTTTATAATGCTTGGTTTGGGGATAATTACAATATCCCTGTAATGTACTTTAGCCTAAATTACTAATTTGTATTCTCTACCTTAATTCTATTTTAAGGTAATTTTTGTTTGGGAATAGATTTAGAATCTGTTTAAGAACTTTCATTTGTCTTGTAGTCAGACATAAGTTCCATCTGACAGCAGTTCATAGTTGAGCTTAATAGACATAAGGCAAAATTTCAGTGAAATGCTTCTCTTTAACTATTACGTCACCAGTGTAACAGACTAAACCAGATTCAGTGTTTTACTCAGGGACTGCCTAAACTCTGCATGTTATCACGTCTCTTTAGACTATTTCCTCCTGCCTTTCCACTTCTGGATTGATACATGCACTTTCCACAAGGTGGCATTATGTTCATGCTTTCCATGTCATAAGTGAAAAGAACTGAGAAGAATCAATTTTCTAGAGAAATCTTCAAACAGAAAAATATTTTCTACTAATATATGTAAATATATCTACACTGATACACATGTAATGATGCAATAAATAATTAAAATTCTAAATCCACGTGACGTGTTTGTTTAAGATCTATCATCTGTTCATTAACCAGGGCTAGATCAAACTGATTTAAGCCATTGGAACGGTAGAAATACTACCTTTCCAGTGGTGTATATTGTTATACAGCGATCATTTATATCTGTGGCACTTTGCAAGATAGTGGCAGTATGTTATGGTCCGCTCTAAGGAATTGTTTTGCTTTTTTTTTGTTTAGTTGAGACATGGTTTTAGTAACTCATATCTCAAGAACTGCTAGAGTTGAAAATAGAATGCTTTAGAAATTAAGAAGCCAGGATTCAAGCTTTTGATGACATAAAGCACTGGTTTCTCATTCTAGAAGTTTGTGAGATATGAGCAACTAATATGTCAAAATTAATGGAAAGGGGAAAAGGCAAGATAGTTTTGGTACAATATTTCTTAAACTGTTAGAGGTAGAAAAACCTAAGACTAGTTAATCCATGGGGTTGGAGTGAGTCCCTACTCCTCAATAAAGGTACAGTTACCAAACTGCTGCTTTTGATGAGGTATAATTCTGCACTTTCAAGATAGGATGGGTGACCTAAGAGACCTTTTCTATCTCTAACTTATATGATTAAGTTATGTTTCTTTTTCAATTAACTTAATCAACTTTCTTTTCAGAGTCAATACAGATTTGTTTGTGAAGCTATTTTGAAGGTGTATGAAGAAGGATTTGTTAAACCTTTAAAGACATCGCTGCATAAATAAGAGCAAAAGGGCTAGGATCCATATTGAAGTATCCTGTCCTCTGTAATAAACTGGCAGCATTCATTGTGCCATAACTCTGATTGCAGGAAATGGTGTCGGAGAACAATGAAGAATTGAGAAAGGACTTTGAAAACTTCAGCACTGTTGCACTTTATGTTGAAACAAAAATCAATCTCTAAAACTCTATTACTTACATGTGTTTGAAGACTTTATTATTTTCATGCTTTGCTCCGAACAAACCATAAATTGAATGAACTGAGTGTGTTCAGGGTAACTTATGATATCTCATTGTAGTGCCATATACTCCCCTTCTGGTCGAATTGCTACAAACAAGGCTTGGAATTATTTCACTCTGGTATACAACTGCGTCTTTTAAAAACAAAACAAAAATCTACACTAAGCCATGGTCTCTTCCAGTGCTAGATTTATTTACGGTGTACGGATCCTCACTTTTGTTTTTAAAAACATCAGCAATATTGCCAATATTAGATAGACACTGCCTACTGATGCAGCACACTTTGCTCTTCACCCCTATTAGAGACCAGCTGGTTATTAGAGGAAAGCTGGAATCTGTGTTAACCCAGCAGTAGCTGCATAATGTCCACTTACCAGCATCTTGTAAAATATAAACAACATTTCTTTGAACTGATGGCACAACTTATTTCTGTGTCATAACACTGGTGTATTCCAAATCATGTGACTTAACATTACGTAATGGGAACTAGTGCATGCATTGCGTCTTAACCCCTTAAGTGCCTTGAGACTTACCGAGTATGTCTAATGAAAAGGCACTCATATGACCCTATGGGGAAGGTATTATCCTGTCATATTTATTTTAATGGGTTTATATTTTAATACATGGCCCTTGGTGCTTTGAATATGGTACTGCAAGGGGTCACAGAATACCATTCCCTTTTTCCTTATACAAATACCTGCATGCTACTGTGGGTAGCAAATCACACCTACTTAATGTGTGAGCATTGTTTGCTGCTGTGAAATTATATGGAAAACCTGACACATTCCTTCCAATTGGTAACTTATTAGCAGCTGATAATGAAAAGCCAGTAGGTTGTTAGAACTCGTTTTACCCTACCATCGCGAAAATCTGTCTGATTTAATTAGATTATAACTTTTTAATACCACTGATATTTAAGGTTAAACTTACCATCAAGTGTGATTAATTCCTTTCCATTATCTGCTAACCAATTATTTTTCTAAGTCTTCATCTGTTGATTTCAAGCCATGTTCGTACTGGACTTTTTAATTATTATTATTATTATTATTATTATTAAAGTAAGGAATAAAACACTGTCAAATTGTCCCAAAACTTTATTTTACTCTCTTAATGACCCCAGTCATTTTTTCTGTTATCGTTGTATAAAATTAAATTGTTCCATTTTGTGTGCGTTGTTTCTTATTTAAGTCATTAGCATATTTGTAATGAGCAGTTTGTCTGTCTGTTTGATATAGTATCTGAGCTCATTGTAAGCATATGTATATTTTGTCCCTTTTCAATATTTTTTCCAGTTTGGGAGAAGCCAACTGATAAGCAAAGTATCGAGTTTGAAATACAACAAGTAGGGGTTCAGTCACGTTTTTGACTACCTTCAGAAACCTAACTTTACATGCCAATATTTAAAAGGTTTGTTATTTTATTGATTTCCTGAAAATTATCATCTGTTCAGTTTTGTTAATAAGCTATATAAAGTGTAGAATTAAAAGATATAAAGTTCTAGACTGAGAAAGTTTAAATATTGTAAAATTCTTCTATATAATATACTCTCTTCTATGGGCATTTAGAAGAGATTATAGTTATAAATTAAGAAAACAGTGAAAGTGAATTCAGGTCAGTTGAAGTCCTGGTTTATGAATTTGTAAACATCAAGAACCGTGATGCCAAATAGAAGAGATATAGAGTTTTAAATATTTTTTAGAAATAAGAACAACATAATTAATAGTAGATGGGCTGCAGCCCTTATTTACAAAGAAATTCTGCTATGTATATTTCTAGAGTTGACATTCAATTCAATATTATCCCTCCGTGAACAGGTTAATCTTATTTAAAAGTTCAGTGTAAACTGACTGCTCCTGCCAGGTAACTGACAATGTGGCTTGCTTCCTAGAGAAATTGATAGGGAAAGGTAGTAATTTTACCCAAATTTAAATTGAGGATTTATTAATCAGAATGGGCTGCCAAGAACCATCTCACTTCAGTTTATATTCTCCAGTCTGTAGGATCAACATCTATTCCTGCCATACTTGGTGTAATCCTGCTAGGTGTTCAGTACCTCAGGAGGCACTCAGCACCTTGTAGGATTGGAGCCTTTTGGTGCAGTTTCAGAGACTTTACCTTTACATCACTCAGGTAACGAAAAGAGATTAGGGGTATGTGTTTTTATTTTGACACCTGGGATGATGATATAAAGACGTTTTATATGGAAGTGTTGAAAAAATCCATCTCTCCTTGGTAGTCCATTTCTAGTCAATAGGACGTGAAAGATCACAGGATGTTATCTCACACCTACTGAGCATAAATGGTAAAACACCTTTGGATATTAAGCCAAAAGTAGCTGTTCCGATTTTGACGGCCATCCAAAAGACATACTTTTTCTCTGGATTAGAGAGAGATAAAAATAATAATAAACTGGCTTTAATCTTAGTTTTGTTTTAAACTATCTGCAACAAAATTGTTACCCTGTACTGTAGTACTTTGGAAAGTTTTCAAGCTTTGACTTCCATGTGACAGCACTTCGAGCCATAATATTGGCTAGCTCGAAGGCTAATTTATAGGGCTGTCAAGTGATTAAAAAAATTAATTGCGCAATTAATTGCACTCTTAAACACTAATAGAATACCATTTATTTAAATATTATTGGATGTTTTCTACATTTTCAAATATATTGATTTCAATTACAACACAGAATACAAAGTGTATTCGTGCTCGTTTTATATTTTTTTTATTACAACCTAATATAAGTACTATACTGCAATCTCTTTATAATGAAAGTTGAACTTACAAATGTAGAATTATGTACAAACTATAACTGCATTCAAAAACAAAACAATGTAAAACTTTAGAACCTACAAGTCCACTCAGTCCTCCTTCAGCCAGTCGCTCAGACAAACAAGTTTGGTTACAATTTGCAAGAGATAATGCTCCCCATGTCTTCTTTACAATGTCACCTGAAAGTGAGAACAGGCTTCCGTATGGCACTGTTGTAGCTGGCATCGCAAGATATTTACGTGCCAGATGCGCTAAAGATATGTCCCTTCATGCTTCAGTCAGAAGACATGTCCATGTTGACGGGTTCTGCTCGATAACGATCCAAAGAAGAGCGGACTGATGCATGTTCATTTTCATCATCTGATTCAGATGCCACCAGCAGAAGGTTGATTTTCTTTTTTGGTGATTCGGGTTCTATAGTTTCTGCATCTGAGTGTTGCTCTTTCAAGACAGCTGAAAGCATTCTCCACACCTCGTCCCTCTCAGATTTTGGAAGGCACTTCAGATTCTTAAATCTTGGATTGAGTGCTGTATCTATCCTTAGAAATTTCACATTGGTACCTTCTTTGTGTGTTGTCAAATCTGCAGTGCAAATGTTCTTAAAATGAACGTGTGCTGAGTCATCATCCGAGACTGCTATGACATGAAATACATGGCAAAATGTAGGTAAAACAGAACAGGAGACATACAATTCTCCCCCAAGCAGTTCAGTCACTAATTTAATTAACACATTTTTTTTGTAACAAGTATCATCAGCATGGAACCATGTCCTCTGGAATGGTGGCCGAAGCATGAAGTGTCATATCAATGTTTAGCATATCTGGCATGTAAATACCTTCCAACTCCGGCTACAAAAGTGCCATGCGAATGTCTGTTCTCACTTTCAGGTGACTTTGTAAATAAGAAGCAGTCAGCAGTATCTCTTGTAAACAAACTTGTTTGTCTTAGCAATTGGCTGAACAAGAAGTAGGACTGAGTGGACTTCTAGGCTCTAGAGTTTTACATTGTTTTATTTTTGAGTGCAGTTATGTAACAAAATTACATTTGTAAGTTACACTTTCACAATAAAGAGATTGCACTACAGTACTTGTCTGAGGGGAATTAAAAATAGTATTTATTTTGTTTATCACTTTTACAGTGCAAATATTTGTAATAAAAATAATAATATAAACTGAGCACTGTACACTTTGTATTCTGTGTTGTAATAGAAATCAATATATTTGAAAAATGTAGAAAAACATCCAAAAATATTTGCCAATTGAAATGTATTATTCTATTGTTTAACAGTGCAGTTAATCACATTTAATTTTTTTAATCGCGTGAGTTAACTGCAATTAATCGACAGCCCTACTAATTTAACTAAGCACTTAATGTCTAAAAAATTAAATTTTAAAATATACATCTATTATATTAAGATATTTTATGTTCATAGCCAAGTTGTAAGTGAAAATAATGGCATTGCCCTTTTTCATACTCTTACTGAGGGAAGGAGGAATAGAGAATTTATAGCAACATTGTATACTATTGGTATTTTACATATTTAAATATTCTTATGTAAGGTTGCCAAAGCAGTTTGAGTTTGCAAGATCCATTTATACCACAATTGAGTGGAGTATATTATTGACTATTTTTTTGTATTGATTTCAGATAGAGACAAGAACATAAGAGTTCTTAGAAGTCTTCATCTCCATTGACTTAAATTGATTTAGTGTACTAACCAGCTGCAGTGGGGGAAAAAAATCTAAAGTTTCAGTATATTAGCTGAAATTAGGGACATGAGTTTATAGACAAGTGTTAGGTTTTTTTCAAGCTTCCCTAAAGGCACATATATGGTGATAATTAAGACTTTGTTGAGCAGCATTGAAAAGCATCAAAGCCTTATTTGCACCATAAAGCATTAGCTCAAAAAAATAATGTTTCAACCTGTTGTGGTATAAATGGCCTTAAAAATATTTTTCTATGGCTGAAAAAAGTCAAAACTGCTAAATATTTTACTTTGGGTTATGAAGATCTGTATCATTAGCCTCAAAAGAAAAAAAAACTGTGTGTTTCATGCTGTACAAAACATGAATGTATCTTTCAGACATAATGACCTATGCGTGTTTAGTGTTATGACTGTGGGATTTTATGGATAATTATTTTCATACCATTTGTTTAAAATAAAAGTTGGGATGGGAGGGGAAGAAAAGGAAAAAAATGTAAAAAAAATTGTAACACTTCCATGATACTGATGCGGTTTTTTTTAAATCAAGTGGCTTTTGTTGTAAATAACAGCAATATGACAGTTTGTGCCAATGTATAATGTTACAGATTTTTGTTAGTTTGTTTCTTTTTGGCTTCATGATTGAAAACTGCAACTGCCATTTATTATTTTAAGTATCTTTGCTGAAGGGTTTTATTTTAAATGCAGAAATTTGGGGCTCTTGAATTTTTTGAGCATTTGGAGGGAAGGAGCATGATTTTTTGTTTTTGCTAAATATGAAGTAATATACAGGTAACTTTTTATGAAGCATACACAGATGTCAGCCAATCACTCTGAGAAGTAACTTTAGGTAAGCCAGCTAGACATGTTTTATCAGCACTCAGTTATATTGCATTTGGAGGTATTTGGTGTTCAAATAATACAATATTCTTAAGCAATAAAACTTATTATTTTTATGCTCTTTATTCCAAAATATTCTACCCCAGTCACTAGTAACAAAAGTCTTGATTATTCAACCAACTACAGTTAGCACTAGGTCATGTTTCTTCCCAGTTTCCACAAATTACAATTTGAAATTACTGTAATTTACATGTCTCCTTCTGCAACAGCATTTTTTTAGGATAGCCTCTTAGTCATTCTGCCATCCTCTATCATCAAAACATTCAAAAAGCAGTTGAAGAGTCCAAGAGAAGATCTGCTGTGGAACCATGCAACTGGCATCTTCCCATGGAAAGTCAGCAGATAACTTTGCAGAACCCAAAGGAAGGCCAAAATGCGGCTAAACTGCTGCAGTTCCATCATGCAGGGAAACAGAAAATAGAGATGGTCATGCATGAAGATGTTGCAGCCCCCTGCATGCGGTGGAGCAGAATTGCATGGTATTCCAGCTATTACCGTATGTATGAGGCGTGGGAGGTGCTCCGTGGTGAAGGGAAATTTCAAGGGCGTGGGCTGTAGGTCAGCAAACTGTATAGATCCAACATCCACAAACCTCCAGGTAGGGAGTAGGAAATCCAGCCCATGAGTTGTAGGAGAGCTGGCAGACCTGCTCTGCAGGTGCCCCATGCCTTGGTTCTGGGGAGGATTCTGGTCTCATTCAAATTTGGCTTATTCAAAACTTTGTATAAGTGACAGGAATTTTATTCCCTAAAGTCACCGGTGACCAAACATTTA